GAAAGCTGTGTTTGTAGTACAATAAACCCACGAGAGTTGTTTATGTTAAGCTTTTATTATTCTTTCTACATTTGAACTCAGTTATAGACTCAGCTTCTTTTCATTCTTCCTATAAACTAAGCTATTGTCAGACGCCACAACTAGAATGCCTTGAGGGTATGATAAACAATTCATAACCAAAGTTAGAGCTTTTAATTATCGGCGAGGCTGTAATAAGTCACGAATTTGGAGAATAACTCGGATGTTCAAAGACTGACGGCACAAATACTCAAAAAGTTTTGCGGCCTACTCAGTTTATTTCTCATTTTAATCTTCGATCGGTATGGTAACAATTAGAATGGTTTGTTCCGAATTTAGGAATATTTAGGAATATCAATTTTCTGGCGCAGCTGCACAAATTTCTATAATAGTCTTTGTATTATGCTTAGGTGCATCATTTTATTTACCAAGCTTTCATGGTAAAAATTAATTTTGGTAACTGAATTCTAATCATTATAAGGCTTACTGAAGACCTTATCTCATAAGAGAACAGTTTAATAATTCATTTAGATAGGGCCACAGGTGCTTGTTTTTGAAACTTTCATTTCAGTATTGCGAAAATAACGTATACGTTTGTCTGTCAACAGTTTAGTTGTGAAGTTCCGGTCCACAACATTGCTGAATTCGCGACTACAAGAAATGGATCTGATTGTAACAATGACCATAATATATATCTTGATAATTTTTGAAGGTATGGTTTCTAAAATTTGCTATTTTTGTCCTTTTGACCGAAATAATGTTTGATTCGAGCATGAATATGTGAGAAAGCTGGTTTGACGCCTTCTCTCGAAAGCTAGAATGCAATTTATCAAAGCGTTTTTTTTAAAAATGATTTGTGCGTTCGAAATCAATTTTTAAGCTCGTATAGCAAAACACTTGGCAATTTAGTTGTCGCTAATTTTAAACTTAAACATTAATATTGCAGAGCTTTCTATGAATTCATTTATTTTTAAACCATACTTCCGCTGAGGAACTTCTAAGGACATTATCCAAATCAAATGTTTGCCCGTTTGTCCACTTTTATCTATTTGAAAAGATCTCATAGACAAAACTGTTGATTGTGTTTGGAAGGCGTCAACTGCTCTACAAAAATAAATGTCAGAAGTACGAAAGACAAGCGACCACAGCTATTCATTATACGTCAGAGAGTTACTGATTAGCTACAGGACATCATTTCATCTTTTCAGAATTAGACTCATGGGGAGAGCTTAGAGCTGTAAGAATGAAACTGTCAATTTCTATTATCAATTATTGAAAATATTTTTAAAGTAAGGTAAGGAAAGCCGTCAATGTTCACCTGATGTCGCCAATTCAACCTCTCGTTTGCAGGTGCTATCTCTTTGCTATTCGCTTTATAATTTGTCATTACAAGTACAGTATATACTTTGCCTTGGCCAATAGAAATGCATTACTTGAAAAAATAAAAAATCAAGCTGTAAGTCATTAACTTCCAGAAGCGACTATTAAGTTCCTGTATTGATTACTGCTCTTCGATAGTCCTGCAGATGAATAATCTGCTGAAGCTTGGAAAATGACACACAGCCTCTCACAACGTAGAAACTGTCTTTTTACGATGATGACCTTTATCTTGTTTGGACTGGCCATGACACAAGGTGCTTTCGTTTTAATATTTTATCGATAAATTCTTAATTTCTCTTGATGATATGACGACGACGACGTGGATGATGGTGTAGATTACGAGGAGATAACTTCCTTATTAATTCACAACTTTTCCATAGTTTTCCTCTCAAAGCTTCGAACAATCGAGATGTACATTAAAAACCAGCGGACTTTTAAGAATTACTTGGGCTAATATTTACTCGGAGACTCCTCATACCAAAGAAACCTTTTAATGGAAGATTTTTGACGGGTTTTTCTTTTACATGAACCGTTTACGAAATTTTTAACAAGAATAAAACTATTCTCCCTATGCTGCAATATAGCAGGGGTAAAGTCGCGTCGGTGCGATAGTCGCCTCGCTGTCCCATGAATACCCCAGTGATGACTGGTTACCTGATTATTACATATGAACGAAGTTATGTTTGATTCGACTATGACCATGTTTGATTATCGGATTTTGTACTTTCAATGTTTGGTCCGCAAGCATCGATAGGGACTGTCTTGAAGTAGTTAACACTGACTTTGATTATTCAGCTCGACTCTTCAGTTCTAGATGAAAAACCGTAAATACATTTGTTTTTCTAAAATATTGAAAATCATTGCAAAAGAAGATCAGTATTTTACAAACACCGTGAAAGTCAAATTTTCATAAGTCGCCGCCGTCTTGGTATTTTCGCTGCTTTTTTTTTTCTTCCTTTTCTTTCTCAGCTTTTCTTCTTAGCAAAACTAACTCTCATTGAGAATGGTGATGATTGGTTACCTGATTATTACATTTGCATTATTGACCAAACCTAAAGTCAAGGTAACTGAATTTTGGCCGAGTTCTTTTTTGCGTTCTTGACCAATTGACCAAGACGACTTTGAGGTCCATAGAAAAACGGAAAAAGAAGCTAATATCAAGCCATGCTTGGTCAAAAAGGATTTATCATACGGCAAAGAGATTTCGCTTTATTAAGAATCAAGAATGAACTGTTTATTTCGAGAGCCGGTAAACACTCGGCTTCTTCTCATTCTTCTTATAAACTTGTCAGACGCCACAACTAGAATCCCTTGGGGGTATGATAAACAATTCATTAAAACTAGAGCTTTAAACAATCGGCGAGGCTGTAATAAGTCACGAATTTAGAGAATCACTCGGATGTTCAAAGATTGACGGCACAAATACTCTAAATTTTGTCGTAGTAATCTTCGATCGGTGTGGTAAGAGTAAGAAGGGTTTGTTTGTTCTCAATGGGGATTTTTCAATTTTCTGGCGCAACCGCACAAGTTTTTTTTAATAGTCTTTGTATTATCCGTACGTGTATCATTTTATTGCTAACAGCTTTCATGAACAAACTAATTTTAGTTCCTGAATTCTAAACATTATTCGCTTTGCGCAATGCCTTTGCTTATAAGGAAACAGTTGAATAATTCATTTAGATAGGGACACAGGTGCTTGTTTTTTTTTGAAACTTTCATTTCAGTATTACGAAAATAACGTATATATATACGTTTGTCTGTCAACAGTTTAGATATGAAGTTCCGTGCCACAACATTGCTGAATTCGCGACTACAAGAAATGGATCTGATTATAACGATGACCGTAATATATATCTTGATAATTTGTGAAGGTGTGGTTTCTGAAATTTACTATTTATGTCCTTTTGACCGAACTTATGTTTGATTCGAACATGAATATGTTATGTTATCGGATTTTGTAGTTTCAATGTTTGGTCCGTAAGCATCGATAAGGACTATCTTGAAGAAGTTAACACTCACTTTCATAATTCAGCTTGACTCTTCAGTCCTAGAAGAAAACCATAAATACATTTGTTATTTTTTTAATGAAAGTTTTTAGGAAATTTAGACCAATATTTGACACGCACCATACACACGAAAGTCAAATTTCACGAGTCGCGCCGTCTCGGTTTTTTTGCTGCATATTTTTTTCTTCCTTTATTTTCCTATTCTTTTTTCTCGGCAAAACTGACGTTTACCGAAAACTCCTCCTCTCCTCTTTTTTCGCGTTTCCCCCTTTTTTCAGAAGTGGTTTGACACGATGTCGAGGGTTTTCATTGTTGCAACGTCACAGAAAACAGACGATCCATGTGAACTGAACGTTTGGGAGTCTAACGATGGAGATCAAAATAATGAAAAACGGGTTTAGTAAGTTATGAGAACTGAAACAGAGTTGCTTTTTTTTTTCTAGTACTAAACGCATCGAAAAGGCTCGATGTAGCTCAAAATCCTTCACGGAAAGTCTGACTCGATCATCATCGATATGATACCAAGTGATGACTAAGATCTTAGTTAACACCTAGGTATAACAGCTTGTAGCTTTAAATGATTACTCACAAAACGGTCACTGCTCAATTGAACTACACTCACAAAGTAGACCTGTCTAAAAATGTTTTAGGAGGGTTTTAATGTGGTTAAATTTAGCTGTTAAGTGTAAGAATTGACGAATTTTAACCTTAAGTCGTATAAAAGTTAACCGTCAATTTGGTTTGCAATCGCAACGGAAAGAAACTAAACGTTAGCTGTAAAATGGCCAAAATTTTAATCGTCAGTTAGATGTCCTCTATTAAATATACTTTGTCGTAAAGGATGTAACTCTTGGAAATGATAACAAGGCATTCTCTCTGATATTTCCATTCAATATACATTTAGCTTTTGTTTTGAACAGCCCTGTTAAATCTTTTCCATTAAGTATCTTTAAGCATAATTTTGAATAATAACAGTAGGACTGAGCTAAACAGTTTTAATTCAGTCGCCGGTGATGCGGGAGGTTCTGTTGCACTTTAAAATACTTGTCACACTTTGTAGTAAGATTGTCGCATTTTCCAATACCTGTGGCACTTTCTATAACACTTGTCACAGTGAGTAACAAAAATTCTGTCGCACTTTGTAATAACAGACCATCGCAATTTGTGATAATAGAAATAAACTGTGGCTCTTTTTAAAAATACTTGTCGCACTTTGTAATAACTTGGTATAAATAGTCGGAGGGAAAAGGTACTTAAACGAAGCAACCCGAAGCGTCCTACTAAAAACACAGCAGTTGACTTCTTTTAAACTGTTTCTGATTGAACGGCGAATAACTCACTAATGTGCTTAGTTACCGAGACTTTGATCAGCATAAGTTAAGGGTTCTCATGCTTTTTAACCTCGCTGCTTTGGTATATCCTGCAAAAAAAATTGTTTCGTCTCTTACGTAAGGTTACGCTCAGCCGCTGTCCTGTCTAAAAGTGTTTCATAAAGCGCACTCCTTTAAAATAGAGTTTTAGATTCTGACAGGAAATCATTCTCGAATATTTTGCCATAGCTTGATAAAACTAATATGAATGTAATTCCTTCTGTTAAAAGGTGTTCGGCAAGATTTTGCTGAGCCAGGTGTATCATATGCGAACTTCAAGCACGAACAATTTTCCTACCTGAACATCTCAAGAATCGGTTCAAAACTTGTCCAAAAGGACACCGAGTGTGGATTGGCTTGTTTACAAGTCACTTCATGTTCTTCTTTTAACCTGGCTACATTTCCTGATATCAACGGAAAACTGTTGTGTGAACTTCTACCTTCTGACAAGCACAGGATGCCCAATGAATTGATCCACAACCCGATGTTTCATCATTTTAGTAAAACGGTGAGTGTAGTTTGAATCGAAAAACACTCTAGTAACATTAGCATTATCATAAATAAAGATAAACCTTTTCAAGTGTTATAGCAAATTCAGGGATTAGAGCAAGAAAATTATTTTGAAAATACATTATTTCGTGTGATCGGCAGTCACACTATCGATTTTATACATAATAATTTTCTGGCTGGGCTTCATAAAAGATGGGTATGTGAAACAGTTCTGATCATTGTAGATTAAGGAGTATACGACGTGTACATGGCCGATATATTTGTGAATTTCGTAGACTCTAATAATCAAACTTTCATTTAGGGACCAAACAACAGCTGCGATCAAGGAGACTATCCACAACTGCTTGTGCCTGGTCTCCTTGATCACAGTTGTTGTGTGGTCCTCGTCAAGCAACGCGTCCAGTAGTTGGAGAGGTGGGGGAGAGACTGCGTTGCATGTGGAGACCCAACAACGGCTGCGAAGGAGACTTACTTATGGCCCACGGCTGATTTTGGAATAATGTTCGGAAAAAAGTCTGAATTGACAGCTGTAATATTGGCTGGCAACTTCAATGAGGCAAATGAAGTTATGATAAGAATAATTCCTTAGTTAACTTAGCACGTATGTTAAGTTTACTGCGCCACCTCTGAATGTTCTTATTCTTGTGGTAATAGGCCCAAAAGTTCTTGAGAATGAGTAATGTTTTGATGATTGTCAAAACGCATTTTTATCTGGGATGATAAAGTTAACTTTCTCCTGTTTTTTGGAAACAGAGTCCATGCATCAACGATCCTTGCTTAAACAAAGGAAAATGTGTTGCCAAATTCAAAGATGGCGATTATTACTGCAGTTGGTGTCCTCGGTTTTACAACGGAAAAGACTGCAAAACAGGTATTGTAATTAGAGATTCACGCCTTTTCTACCCCTTTTTCTCTTATTCGTAACAATTCCCTGCATTACCATCTCTTTCGTTCTCAGCTGAACACAAATAAGGTAATTTAGTGTTAAGAACTTTGAAGATGTAAACTGACCAACGTAAAGAGTAAAATAGCTGACGTTTCGAGTGTTAGCCCTTCGTCAGAGCAATAGGGTACCTGCTGTACTCTCCCACCGACGCAGCACCACAGTTTCTTTAGAAACTTACCCCCTTTATTCATTTGAACACAAACCAGCCTCGTGTTATTACCCTCTAATGACCTACAAAGGGTTTCAATTTGGTTTGAGAGTAAGTTGATTTGGATGCCTTCACATACTTGGCGCCTTTTCACGGCAAACAGTGATAGCATACTAGGAAATAGTTTAGACTCTGAGATTATAGCCTCCATAGGCCTTTTTCCTAAAAGTGCATCAAGGTATTTTTCAAACGGGGACCCATTTTCTCACCTCATCGGTGTAAAATGTACTGGCATGAAAATCAGAAAGTGAAATTTCTCTTTCCTTACATAAAGATTAATAATTAATTCTATTCAATTAATAATCAGGGCACTTTGTAAGAAAAAAAAAATTGCTTGGAAATTATGGAGCGAAGTCTCTCACAGGAGATGGCATGTACTGGTTAGACCCGGATGGAGCAAGCCATTCCAATGCATTCCTGGCCTACTGCGACATGACGTCACACAATGGAGGATGGACCATGTGTTACACTACTGATGAATTTGTCAAACCGAGGACTGAGGTCACATACAACGCCTCTATTCCTTATGGAACTGTCGGCTACAGGACTAACTGCAACAACATCTCTGTAAGCTGATTGAATAATCTCTTATCTCTATGAATATGGATCGCTTAGTATATATGCATATGGGTCTCGAAATATTATTTCATTTTTTTGTTTTATTGCATGACGCACAAATAGGTGTGTCGATGTACATAATGGTGTGTTAGTATTTTTGTGTTAAATCAAGAAAAATTTTCAAACAATTCTCTCCTTACGATACATTTCATATACTCGTATCTATTCGTTCACTGCACTGAAAATGGCGCTGCACTGTACCTTTTTAACTAAAGAAAATACCGAAGCACATAAAACTTAGACTAAGGCTGTAAAAAGGTCGGAATTTCGCACCATACAATACAAAGCATTGTCTCTTTTTCCAGTTTACAGAGATTATGTTCTTGGATCATCAAACTTTGGCTAAAGTGTATTTCAAGCGAAGAACCAACCAGTCTATAACGGCCAGTTTGAATTATGGGAACGGTGCTTCTACTTATGGATTATGGGACGGTGTGGGAGTGAGCAACGCATACCTTTATCAGCTACTGATCTGTGATACCTCATTCTACGGTGGCTACTTCGTTTCTGGTTATACAAATTGTTATAAGCAGTGTGTAAGCTGGTGTGGCGATAAAGTCTCCCCATACTTCCGTACTGCATCTACCCGTTCGTACTTTGGTGTGGCCTTTAACGCCAATGGCCACCGACCAGTCAATAAAAGACTCATCAGTGTCGGTCTGCGCTGAGATATTTACGGGGTTTTTTCAAGGTTTTTTCTTGACGAATGTTTGCAATTATTGTGAATAATGAACGTAAAGATTTGGATTAACGTTTGAATAAAATATCAAGAAATTTAGGTAACAACTTTTTTTTCATCAAGTAATGATAACGATAATAATCATAACAATGATAATAAGATACATATTTCAAGAGGAGACGTCCATCACTCTAAGTGGTTTTCAGGGGCGTGTGCCAAGTACATCTGATGTAGGTGTGTTTCTGATGTCCTTGCCACTGTTATCTAATTTCTATCACATAGTGAACCAATCCTCCAGGGTAACGCTGGATTCTACGTATTTTGTCCAGATATGAATATGTTTAGTCTGCGAAATATTCAGAGAGTGAGGCCTGTAACATAATATTTATCCTCGATATCAATTTAAGTATGTTCAGAAATGGCTTCTCCACATTGGTTGGGCTTGTAATGTCAGCCAAACTTTAAGTGATCCCACGTTTAGGATGCATTAATTTGCGACTAAAAGGTCTTGAAGTCCATGATAAACGGCGCATCAGCGTTGGCTCACGATAAAAGACAGCATTAACTTTAAACTTGTAACTGCATGATAATTTTAGCTTAATGTAACTCAGGATGTATATATTACTAACACACGCCAAGATTTGGCTATCCTACACCTATGCGCAGATTGTATAAATGTGGTGGAATCTGTGTCGCAATACAGTAGAGGAAGAAGTAGAAGTAGGACTTCAAGTAATTCACATGGTGATTTAGTAAAATCTGTGTCACTATAAAATAAAGGAAGTATTCGTAGTAGTAGTTGTAGAGGCAATCTACTGGTAACATCCCTCTGTCATTTGTTAGAAAAGCTAGATTTATTCTGAAGTAAGTTACAGCGCGGGAAATAACGAACATGAACCAGAACAACAACAGAACTAATATATGCAGTAGACCACGTGTCATAGATAATTCACGAACAGCATTAATTATCATTTGTAATCCTAACATCATTAACTAACCAAAGGTAACAAGAAAAGAAGCTGATTCTTTGGTCGGCACGGAACCAGAGGCTGACAATGTTATGATACAAATTTAACCTTATATGTTCAACATGTAAACTGCTGTGTTATCATGTCGATAAGTTTCCTGTTTCTATATAAACGAGGCCGCTCTCAGCCACTCTTCCGTGCAAAACAAACTTAGACATGATTTCTCTCGTTACAAGGTTTCCATCGCCAGGATTCCTCTACGGGTGTGTCTTACATCAACTTCAAACCTGAAGCGTTTTCTTACTTAAATATTACAAGAGTTGGTTCAGAACTTGTCCAAGATGGTAGCGAGTGTGGATTTGCCTGTTTGGAAATCACTTCGTGTTTTTCGTACAACCTGGCAGCATTTCCTGATAACTGGGGAAAGCTGTTTTGTGAACTGCTTCCGTCCGATATGCACAGGGAACCCAATGAACTCATCAGCAATCCCATATTCCATCATTTCAGTAAAACTGTAAGTGCAATCTTGTTTCAGTTTAAGCTATACGTCCCCTCCCCCATAAGTAAATCAATTGGGGCTGCTGCTGATAGGAAAGTGCGTGATTGAAAGTGTCATTTGACAGCTGTGATTTTGATTGATAGCGCAGTACGTTAAAAATTATTTAATGGATAAAAATTTTTCGGTTGGGTGGCGTTATTGGCCCTTTGAACAACTGGGCCCTGTAGTCTTCTACTGGTGGCGAAAGTTTCACTTTGGTTCCATTAAAATGAAAATAAAAAACCGAGTACTACACGTGAAAGAAAGACCTCTACAAGGGGAGAATCCGAGCGCAGAAGGGGGAGGGGGGTTAGCTCAGTTTACTCTGCCTTTCTTTTTCTGTTTCGTATTCTTTTAAGCTATGCAGAAAACTGACCGCAATTTATTTCCAACTAAACAATTTTTTAGCGCTTTTGCTATTCATTTTATTTAACCTGCGATTCTGTCAACCTCAATAACAAGAATTCATAGTTCATAAGTCATACTGATAAACCAACTTCTATTAGCCACATAGACTCAGTTATTATTCCTTTTAATGTTCAGGTCCATTTGTTGGACTTCATTGCCTGGACATTAAGGAACGAGGTTTTTCACGGGGTAATGGCATGTACTGGTTGGACCCGGATGGAGGAAGCCATTCAATGCATTTCAGGCCTACTGTGACATGACGTCACACAATGGAGGATGAACCATGTGTTACACTACCGATGAATATGTCAGACCTAAGAGTGAGGTCACATACAACGCCCAGTTTCCTTATGGAAGTGACGGCTACAGAACTAATTGCAACAACATCCCAGTAAGTTTTTTAGCTGATATTAATAATCATACCACAGACATTCCTTTTTGCGAGATTTTAATATAAAGCACATTACTCCATTATCATCCTTGGGCACATGCAATTGAATATAGCAGTTTCGTGAAAAGTTGTCGGGGAAAAAAAAGCGTAAAAGTGCATGTAATAACTCCGAAAGATATGGTGAGTAGGCAACCTCAAGATTTTAGGAAATCTGAGAAAACGTCATTCTAAGAACGAGACACAGTGGGTGTGATTGATTAACGGATTTATTTCGCTTAGTGAAGTAAAAGGAGTTTCTGGATATTCAGATTATCCTTTAACATTGTCGCTTGCACTTTTGCCTCGTTTTCAAGCAAACTTTCTCGAAACAGCTGTATGTGAACAACTTAATGTGACCACCTTGCTTCTAGGACTCCACAAAAAAAAGCCGTCCATAACAACTACCTGTTTGCTCGTTGATGTTAATGTTGTTCAAATTTATTGCTAAGTTCCTCTATCTCTTTTTAAATTACGTTTTAGACAGACTGACTCCTCCATTCTGTATTGATTCTCCTTACTTTGCTTTCCACCAGAATCATTAAGTTTATTATTTCATTATGATTATTTCAGTTCAGAGAAATCATCTTTGAGGATCACTCAACTGGAAAGAAGATTTACTTCAAGTCACGAAACAATCAAGCTATTAAGGCCTCCCTCAATTACGGAAAATCTGCATACTCCTATGGGTTGTGGGACGGTGTGGGGGCTGATCCAGCTTATTCCTACCAGCTTCTGATTTGTGATGATCCGTTCTACAGGGGCTTCCTGATTTCTGCCCACACAGGGGGTTGTTTTATGACATGCACTTATTGGTGCTCCGATGTTAGCGCGTCATTCTTCCGCACAGCGTTCACTAATTCACATGGACAGAAGGGTGGCGTGGCATTTGGTGAAAAAGGTCATGAAGTCCATGATAAAAGGCGTATCAGTATCGGCCTACGATAAGTTTTCTCCTTTCTTGGTTCCATGGTAAACACCAAGGCAGACCTAGATATAAAATGCATTTATTTCAAATGTTTCCCAGGCGTTCAATCAGTAAAAGTTTGCTTGCTGGTACTAGTAATATCCTTTTTGTTCTTCTCTCCTTGACAACAAGTTATTCATCATCATTGGTCATAATAATTGTGTTAAGAGATTCGTCGCTGCTTTTCTTTTGGAGATTGCTTACTTTTGAAGCAAGATAACAGATAACGTTAACCCTTAACTCCAAAATGTAGCGGGAGTGTCAAGTTAGTATAATTATGGACTTCATGTGTTTGTATAGATGTGTCAATACGCCGCCACCACCTCTAAATATAGAAGTAATGGTTATCGTACTGAGTGAAGTGCAATTTGGTCTGAAATCATACGCTTGATTTCAAATCAGACGAGCGTGCAGCGCATGTTTGATTTCAAATCACAAGAATCATTACGATTTCAATCCAAAGTTGCAATAAACGAAGTTCAATTACCACTTTATCACATCTATTTTGAATCGCAAAATTCAGTCACTCAATACAAGAATTTTTTCCGGCTATACAGGTATTTTATTGATCCAGTGTAATGAGCTGGTTTGTAAAAAGTTGCAAAATTTGTCTCTCATTTTCCTGCAATTTGATTGATTTCTTCAAATAAGCCTTGAAATTTGTTTGGTTGCTGTGTTTTTTAGTAAAGCTGTCTCATTGGTTGGGAAAAAGATGCGATTAAGAACATAATATGGTGCAATTTGTGATTAAATCGCATCGATGAGAGCCAGTCAGTTTGCAGGGATCACAGTCGTCAAGCGATTTCAATATGGATGTAGTAAAACCGCATGTCCGGGCCGGACATGAAGTTTTGGCCTTCAAACAACGTCTTTATTGATCGGGCGGAGAACGTCACAAACTGCTAGCACAACAACCTTCTATTTTGGATTAGGAACTCGTAACAAGCCGTAATAACCTGCAAAACACATCAAAGATTACCCAGCGAAGCGAAACTCGAAACAGGAACTCTATAAACTTACCATATGATGAAAGGAGGGAAACAATAGAGACAAATCACAATTTCAGAGCAAACTAAGTTCACCACGGGCGACTGAAAAGAAATGAAAATTTAAAGAAAAAGCTACTGAGCTTCATGTTCTTACGAATCTATAGAGAAACGAAAAAAGTGAGGAATGGACTCAAGGACTTGTTGAGGAATAGCCTCGACACTGCATATTATTCTGTAAGGAGCTTGTGAAAGGAAAATTCTTGAGATAACTGTATAGAGATCCTTTCTTACTTTGCGGATCATACCAGGTAAGCGAGATGAGGTCGGCAAGATTTTGATGTTTGGGTATTCTAAATCTGAGTACGTATTGTAAAAATAATTTGCTGGCCAGGGTTTTATCAACGAGTTCATAATGGATTTTAGTCACAGTGGAGAATTTCTAAAGCTGACTGTTTGAATGTTTGCTCGCCGTCATAACGCTCTAAAAACTCGAGATTGGTAGTGAAGGTTATACGATGAGAGCGTGGTAATATTTAGATACCTACAGCTTTACTGCAGTTCTTTCCTTTAAGTCCTGGTGTTCATGTGCACTTATAATTATCATCGACACACTTGGCCACACAAGTTGAACTGTTCCGACAAGGATTGCTGGAGCAAGGGTTCTGTGTAGAGGACACTAAGTTACATGAAGTAGCATAGAGCCATATATTAGTAGCATGAAACAACATCATGGACTCATTATTTATTAAACAAGTCTATCATTTGATGGTCTGTGACTGGTAGAAACTAAAGTTAGGCAAAACTGATAAAGGAACTGAATTACACGGAATGCAAAATTAGGGAAGGGTGGCGGGTGAAATTAGCACGGAACTATATTATTATTTATTTTCTCAAGCTTGAATTCAAATAAGATATAATATGCGAAAAAAATTCATTTCCATCTTAAATCTCTGTATTCCCAAATCTTTGTCAAATACAGCAAGCATAAATACATTTAATCTTACCGGAACACTGAAGTGATTATAACTGAATTAGACTGTAGATCAATTTATCCAAGTTGTGGATCAATATTTGTTCCCGGGAAACCGAGCTCGATATAGATGACTCGAGCTCGAGAGCCTACCCGAGGCAATTTCTTTTGTATGTTAAAGTGTATTTGTTTCCCATATTTGCCTTATACTACACGGAAGAATGAATGAAGACAAGCATGACAGAATGATTTTGAATTTCTGCCACAAAGTTTTAACTGAGCGCGGCAATAAATGTCTTTCGAGTTAACTACTTTTATTAAAGTATAGAGCAATGGTAGTGGAGAGCATTTTCGTGTCAGTGATATTCCATTGTTCATTGTCGCATCGCTTATCGCAGCAGAAGCGATAAGTTATTCAAAAATATCTCAAGTTAGAAGGTGGCTGAATTTTGTTTTGCTTTCTTTTTGTTTTTGATATCATTTGTTTACTCACTCCCTGAAACACAAGACTATCCAACCAAACAAATATAATGTTACGCTCTCAAGATCTTTTAAAGTAGCCGTTGAATCTTTTCGAAACTGAAATGAGATGAGGGTGATATCCTCTTAAGTGTGTATTTCATCCCGTGTAATTTAGCCAAAGTGAACCGGTTTGTTTATGTTACATGTATCTATGACGCTTATGTTTAGAGCGAAAGCGTAAGCCAATATTTGCTTGGCTCTTTCTCAGCTTTTCAAACTGAGAAAGCTGGTCTGACGCCTTCTCTCGAAAGCTAGAATGCAATTTATCAAAGCCTTTTTTTTCAGTGATTTGTGCGTTCGACATTAATTTTTAAGCTTGTATAGCAAAACATTTGGCAATCGCAAGTTATAAGTCCTTTAAAGTTGTCCCCCATTAGACGAGTCTGGTAATTTAATTGTCGCTAATTTTAAACTTAAAAATTAGCATTGCAGAGTTATTTATGTATTCATTTATTCTTAAACCATAATTCCATTGAAGAACTTCTTTGGACATTATTCAAATCAAATGTTTGCCTGTTTGTCCACTTTTGTCTATTTGAAAAGATCTCATAGACAAAACTGTTAATTATGTTTGGAAGGCATCAACTGCTCTGCAAAAATAAATGTTGGAATTACAAAATAGCGACCACAGCTATCCATTTTACGTCAGAGAGTTAATGCTTAGCCGCAGGACATTATTTCATCTTTTCAGAATTAGACTCAAGGGAGAGCTTAGAGCTGTAAGAATGAAACTGTCAATTACTATTATCAATTATTGAAAATATATTTAATGTAAGGTAAGGAAAGCTGTCAATGTTCACCTGATGTCGCCAATTCAAGCTCTCGTTTTGCCGGCGTTATCTCTTCGCCATTCTATTTTTATAATTTGTCATTACAAGTATAATATTTACTTTGCCTCGGCCAATCGAAATGCATTAGTTGAAAAAAAAAACAAGCCTTAAGTCATCAACTTCCAGAAGCGACTATTAAGTTCCTGTATTGATTACTGCTCTTCGATAGTCCTGCAGATGAATAATCTACTGAAGCTTGGAAATTGAAACACAGCCTCTCACAACGTAGAAGCTGTCTTTTTTAAGATGATGACCTTTATCTTGTTTGGACTGGCCATGACACAAGGTGCTTTCGTTTTAATATTTTATCGATAAATTCTTAATTTCTCTAGATGATGATGACAACGACGACGTGGATGATGATGTAGATTACGAGGAGATAACTTTCCCATTAATTCGCAACTTATCCATAGTTTTCCTCTCAAAGCTTCGAACAATCGAGATATACATTAAAAACCAACGGACTTTTTAGAATTACTTGGGCCAATATTTACTCCCTATACCAAAGAAACCTTTAATGCTAGATTTTTGACGGGTTTTCGTTTACATAAACCG